ATCCGGCGCCCCAACCGGGACTAGAACCCAGTGTGCCGGCGCCGCTAGGCAGAGGATTAGCCTAGTGAGCCGTGGCGCCGGCCCTCTCCTCTCTGTTCTATTGATGCCCATAAAGACTCATTATTTCTTTTACGTGCCCTTTCCTTAATTCATGTATTCATTTATTCACTTGAGCAACCAACCAGTCAGTGAACACTTACTGAGTGTGCCATGTCCTATGATGAGTGCCAAGGACAACGGAGGCGAGTCTGCCACAGTCCCTGCTCTGAGAGTCCTCTGCTCCCCCTGTGTGGGGGAGACTGACTTGTAGTGCCTAGCTCACTAACACAAGACATAAGTGAACGGTGATGTCAGAGAGGCTCATAAAGTGCAATCAGAGCTCAAAGGGGCAGGGCACAGGTGTTTAGCCTGGCAGTGACGATGCCAGCCAAGACACCCAGGTCCTACATCAGAGAACCTGGATTCAACATGGCTCCAGCTTCTGATTCCAGCTTCCAACTAGTGGAGACCCTGGGAGGCAGCAGTGATGGCTCAAGTAATTGGATTCTTGCTACCCATCTAGGAGACTTGAATAGAGTTCCAAGTGGGCTGTTGAGGAAGTGTAGCAGTAGATAGGTGATCTCTCTCAGTAGATAGGAGTCTCTCTCCCTCTCTCCCTCCCGTCCTCTCTCTCTCTCTCACTCTCAAATAAATAAATCAGTTAATTAAAAGAAAGAGCTCAGGATCAATGTTGTGGCACAGTAAGTTAAGATGCTGTCTAAAATGCCAGAATTCCATATGAGGGCCAGTTTAAGTCCTGGCTGTTCCACTTCCAATCCAGCTCCCTGCTAATACACCTGGGAAGGCAGGGGAAGATGGCCCAGGTCCCTGGGCCCCTTCACCCACGTAGGATACCCAACAGAAACGCCTGGTTCCTGGCTTCGGCCTGACACAACCCTGGCTGTTGTGAACATTTGGGGAGTAAACCACTGGGTGGAAGATTCTTTCTCTCTGTGTTTCCCCCTCTGTCTCTGTAACTCTGCCTTTCAAAGCAATAAATACATCTTAGAAAGAGCTCAAAGGAAAGAGAGCCCACTTTCAGCTAGCTTCCTGGAGGAACCAGGCTTTTAATTTTTTTAAATTTGTTTATTTGAGAGGGAGAGAAAGTGTGGGAGAGATAGACAGTGTGCTCTCCTGTCAACTGGTTCACTCTCCAAATGCTTGCGATGGACAGGCTGAAGCAGGAAGCCAGGAACTCAAGCCAGGTGTGCCACATGGGTGACAAGAACCCAATCACTTGAGCCATCAGTACTCCGAGGGGCCACATTAGCAGGAAGCTAGAGGGGAGCTAGGCATGGAACCTAGGTCCTCCGATGTGGGAATGGGGCATCTTCACCACTGAGCCAAACACCTGCCCCAGGATTTTTATTTTATTGTAAACCTTGAAGGAATGGAAAAGGTGACAGAGTAGGAACAGAGGAGGGCTTATCTAGCAGTAAGAATAACAAAGACACGGATATAAAAATGCAAGCGTTGTTTAGAGAACAATGGAGATGGGATGGTGAGTAACTGGTCAGGAAGATCAGTTGAAACCAGTAATAAGAGGGCCTTAAATGGCAGGTGAAATGTGTTACTTTGATCTTTTTCTTGGTTCATTTTATTGATGTCAAGCCCTGCCTGTCACCAAAGAGCTGCCCACCAAAAACAGCACGCATATTTAGGTTATCTAAAGAGAAATGAAAGAGGGAAGTAGAGTTGAAAAAGAAAAACCCAAAACAAGACAAATTTGCTAGCAGTTGGGGGTTTGCACAGTTGATAAGCTATAAACTCTCTGGCACTATGATGTAAGCTGTTTCTTTAGCACCTGTCCAGGGAGGAGGTGTGGCATTTCCAATGGAGGAAACCTTTTCCTTGGCAGAAGATTTAGAGAGAAGAGTGAATGGGTTTCACTTAGCAGATAATCAGGAGTACAGGCGGATGGTAGACTCGGGAAGAGGGAGGTAAACAGATCAGAAGCCATCTGGAGCTGTCTCCTAGAATTCTGCTGTTATTCATTCCTTCTGTGTGTGTAAGTGTATACAAGTGCCTCTGTGTGTGTGTGTGTGTGTGTGTGTAGATGTATACAGCTGCCCCTCCATATCCATGGGTACTACATCCATAGATCTAACCAACTGTGGATTGAAAAAATTGCACAAAATAAAAAATGCATCTGTACTCCAAATGTACAGATTTTCTCTTGTCATTATTCACTAGACAGTATTACAACAAGTATTACCATGGCATTTGCAATGTATTAGATTTTTTAAGTAATCTTGCAAAAGATTAAAGTATATGAAAGGATGAACATAGGTTCTATGTGAATACTAAGCCATTTTATGTAAGGTTCTTGAGCATCCACGAATTTGGGTATCTATGAGGGAACTGAAGTGAGTTTTTCATGGATAACAAGGACTGTTGTATGAGTGTGTATATGTATGCACACACACACACAGGGTACTTCAAATTATTCACGGAAAAATGGAATTAAAAGATGAACTAATTGTGATGCAAAAAAAAATTGAAGCCCATGTCTAGTTTTTTCATACCATGAATTTTCCTGAACTTTGTGAACACTACTCACATGCATGGAATTTAAAATGTTTTTGCATCAAAATAAACTTTTAATTCCATGAAATACCTAAATGTACACACGCACCCACACACATACACACAGTTGGTATTCAAAAAGTTCGTGGAAATGCATGTTATGAAAAAATTATATCTGGATTTCAATTTGTTGGCCTCAAAATAAACATCTTTTTTTAAAAAAAAATCAACACCTTTCAGTTCCATTTCCCATGAACTCTCTATGGTACCCTTGTATGTATGTGTGTATATGCATGGATATCCTTCCCCCTTCAGTTATTAAAGAAATAAGAAAAAAAAAAAAAGGAAAATAATGCCATGCTCATTTTAGAAATTTCAGAAAATATAGAGCATTAGCAAATTTCTTGGGGGGGGGGGGGTATGGGAGAAAGAACCACTGTATTCCTAAAGTTGTATCTATGAAAGGGCCGGCGCCGCGGCTCACTAGGCTAATCCTCTGCCTGTGGTGCCGGCACACAGGGTTCTAGTCCATGTCAGGGTGCCGGATTCTGTCCCGGTTGCCCCTCTTCCAGGCCAGCTCTCTGCTGTGGCCTGGGAGTGCAGTGGAGGATAGCCCAGGTCCTTGGGTCCTGCACCCCATGGGAGACCAGGAAAAAAAAAAAAAAAGCACCTGGCTCCTGGCTTCGGATCAGCGTGATGTGCCAGCCGCAGCGCACCAGCTGCGGCGGCCATTGGAGGGTGAACCAACGGTAATGGAAGACCTTTCTCTCTCTCTCTCACTGTCCACTCTGCCTGTCAAAAAAAAATAATAAAATAAAAATAAAAAACATAGGTTGTTTCAAAGTTTTCCCCACAGTGAACAGCCTCGTGCATACTCCTGTATCTCATACATGTTTCTGAGTCATTTCTTTTGTTTTTTAAAGATATATTTTATTTATTTTGAAAGACAGAGTTACAAAGAGGTAGAGCCAGAGAGAGAGAGAGAGGTCTTCCATCTGCTGGTTCACTCCCCAAATGACTGAAACAGCCAGAGTTGAGCTGATCCAAAGCCAGGAGTCAGGAATTTCTTCCTGGTCTCCCACGTGGGCACAGGGGCCCAAGGGCTTGGGCCATCTTCTGCTGCTTTCCCAGGCCATAGCAGAAAGCTGGATCGGGAGTGGAGCATCCAGGACTAGAACCAGCACCCATATGGGATGCCGGTGCTGCAGGCTGGGGCTTTAACCTGCTGGGGCTTTAACCTGCTATGCCATAGCGCCGCCACACACACGCGCACACACACACACACACACCCCTTAGGGCAGATTCCTAGAAGTGGAATCACAGGATGCAAACACTTAAGCTCTTGCCAAATTACTTTCCAAACTAGTTAGGGTACTAGGCATGCCTGCTTCCCTGCACTCTCACTAGCCCTAGATATAATTTAAAATTATTTGTGCTAATTAGGAAAGGTTAAAAAATAGTATCTCTTTGTTTCAGTGTGTTCTGAATGGTTTGGACAAAATCCCCACTCTAGGGAAGAACACAACTGGCTATTTTGTTGAAAGGCAATTTCCCTGCCCTGATCCTGGTGAGGGACCATGAGTACCCTCTGACCCTCAGTCTCCATGGCCCATGCCTGAGTGTGGGGTGTTATGGAGAACCCGTATCACCTACTCCCCATATGAGGGCACTTCAGAAAGCTAGTGGAAAAATGCAATCCAAAGAGAAGTTTATTTTGGCCCATTTTTTTTTTTTTTGAAATCCATGCATGGTTGTTTCTGCTGCACATTTTTATCAACTTTGTATTGTGCATAGATGTCAAACTTTTTGTTTTTGCACCAATATCAATTTATCTTTTTTAAAAGATATTTTATTTATTTGTTTGAGAAGTAGAGTTACAGACAGAGAGAAGGAGAGACAGAGAGAAAATTCCTCCATCTGCTGGTTCACTCCCCAGATGACTGCAACGGCCAGAGCTGCGCCGATCCAAAGCCAGGAGCCAGGAGCTTCCTCCGGGTCTCCTATGTGGGTGCAGGGGCCCAAGAACCTGGGCCATCTTCCACTGCTTTCCCAGGGCGTAGCAGAGAGCTGGATCGGAAGTGGAGCAGTCAGGACTAGAACCGGCATCCATATGGGATGCCGACACTGCAGGTGGAGGATTAACCTACTTCGCCACAGCACCAGCCCCATCAATTTATCTTTGACCTCAATTTCCCATGAACATTTTTTTTTAAATTTTTTTTTTTGACAGGCAGAGTGGACAGTGAGAGAGAGAGACAGAAAGAAAGGTCTTCCTTTGCCGTTGGTTCACCCTCCAATGGCCGCCGCGGCCGGCACGCTGCGGCCGGCACACCACGCTGATCCGATGGCAGGAGCCAGGAGCCAGGTGCTTTTCCTGGTCTCCCATGAGGATGCAGGGCCCAAGGACTTGGGCCATCCTCCACTGTACTCCCTGGCCACAGCAGAGAGCTGGCCTGGAAGAGGGGCAACCGGGACAGAATCCGGCGCCCCGACCGGGACTAGAACCCGGTGTGCCGGCGCTGCTAGGCGGAGGATTAGCCTAGTGAGCCGCGGCGCCGGCCTAATGAACATTTTGAAGTACCCTCGTATTTATGTGACCTATCCCTGTGTTCCTCCCCTTACCCAGGGGTTGACAATGGTGAAGACATCCCACGAGACCTCCTGGTGGGCATTTATCAGCGCATCCAGGGCCGTGAACTTCGGACCAATGATGACCATGTGTCCCAGGTGCAGGCTGTGGAGCGCATGATTGTTGGCAAGAAACCGGTAAGTGCCTTGGGAAGCTGCAGAGGGGCCAGGGTTCTGGTCTGCCTCCGCCACTGAGTGGTAAGTCAGTTCCTTTGTGAGCTCCAGGGCTCCCTTACCCGCAGAATGGAGTAGGTGATAATGGTACAGATGAAGTGAGATGCTCCATGGGAGTGCATCCAGCACACAGCAAGGCCCATAGTGGCTGCTGTAGAAAGATGAGCAACCTCCTCACCTCCAGTGTTGCCTGTCCCTCCCATGTGAGAAGCCAGTAGTTAGCTGAGAACCAACACAGGAATGTGTCCAGGTCTTCATCAACAAACATTTATGGCTGCCTTTCCACCAAGCCCGGCATTTCACTAGGCACTTTTTTACATAGATATGAATCCGACGTGGCTTCTGATTGTGGGTGTGCTCATATACCACTGAGGGTACCGGACAAAGACACAGATAATACTTCTACCTGATGGTCTAGGGTAGGAGAGGCCATTTTCAGCCTGGAGAAATCAGGGAAGGCTTCTCATAAGAGACAGCTTCAATATTCGAATTTGAAGGAGGAGTGGAGTGTGGCCATGTAGAGTTGGGCCAAAAAGGCTTTCCAGACAGAGGGTGCTGTGGGGAGAAAGGCAAGGCAGCAGAAAAGCCTGGGCCTCACTTGGTTATGCTGCTTGGGTCAGAATCAGCTTCTGAGCTAAATATCCTCTCTGTGGTTGACTGTTAAGGCGTGGGAGGCCCGAAGCTCCTGGGCTGGCCTGGCTGACAGCTGTTTTTCACACCTCTGTAGGTCCTGTCTCTTCCTCACCGTCGCCTGGTTTGCTGCTGCCAGCTCTACGAGGTGCCAGATCCTAACCGCCCCCAGAGGCTAGGGTTGCATCAGCGGGAGGTCTTCCTCTTCAATGATCTCCTCGTGGTAGGGACACTGCCGGGGAGGAGATGGGAGGGAGATGGTGGGAAGCCCGTTGACATGGCTGTGTGGGCCGTGGCAGGTGACAATGTGGGGCCGAGCCATCTCCCTCATCTCTGGCAAGGCTCAGATAGGCCTTCTCTATTTCCCTTGTGGATCCATTTGCGGGCGGTGACAGCCACACACACGGGAGCAGAAAATGTGAGGACCAGGGGAGATGACAAGCTTACCATCTGGGGAGTAGTAGCCAGTATCCCTGTACCCTTCAGTAGCCTGGAGGGTTGCATGGAAAGATGTGAACCTCTGACCCTGGGGTCAGTGTGAGACCTTTGAGAGGTTGAGAGGGATTTTTTTTTAGATTTGTTTATTTGAAAGTTAGGGTTACAAAGAGAGAGAGAGAGGGAGAGACAGAAGACAGAGACAGAAAGATCTTTCATCTGCTTGTTCCTCCCCTCCACACACACACACACACACACACACACACGGCTGCAAGAGCCAGGGCTGGGCCAGGCTGAAGCCAGGAGCCAGGAGTTTCTTCTGGGTCTCCCACGCAGGTGCAGGGGCCCAAGGACTTGGGCCGTCTTCTACTGCTTTCCCAGGCCATAGGAGAGAGCTGGATCAGAAGTGGAGCAGCCGGGATTTGAACCAGCGACCATATAGGATGCCGGCACTGAAGGCGGCAGCTTCACCTGCTGCACCACAGTGTTGGCAACGAGAGAGATAAAACCAAGTTTGTCACTAGGGCAGTTGTTCATCTTTTAAGGACGAGTCTCTTAATGATTCTGCAAGGAAAAAAGGCCTTTAGGTTCTTCAGGGCGAGAATCAACTTCTTCCTGGATGAACCCCCTGCTTGTATGACGACAGAGACGGACACAGTTCTGACGGCTCGAATCTGTCTCCCTAAGGGTTTCTTCCAACACTCTTCACTCGACCCTTCACAAAACAGAACTGTCCTCCCTCTGCTGTGAGACAGCTCTTCAAGGAGTTGCCAACAGCAGTCCTGCCCTCCGCTGGACTTCTGTCTTTTAGAACAGAGTTTTTCAATCTCAGCCCTGTTGACATTTGCTGCCAGATAATGCCTTGTTAGAGGGGACTGTCCTGTGCATTATAGGATTTTAGCTGCACTCTAGTCTCTGCCCACCAGATGCCAGTAGCAACCCTTCAACCGAAACTGTCTCCAGACATTGCTCAATAATCCTCTAGGGTGGGGTGTGGTGCAAAATGACCCCCCAGGTGAGAATCGCTTTTAGATGAAGCACACCTCCAATGCCCTCTTGGACCTTTATTTTCCTGCTCTGTGAAATGGCATTCCAGATGAAATAAGAGATCACCTGTGCGCTAGCCTTCCCCTGAGAGTTGCCTGACCTACTCAGGTGCTGAGTCCGGAGTTTAGAGCTCCGTCATGTGTGTGTCTGGCTCTGTGCTAGGCGCTGGGTACACCGCGATGAATCAGACCATGCCTCACAGTCTAAGGGACCTCAATTAAGTGCTTTGGGTCATATCCTGAAAGAAACACATCTGCCTTTTTAAATAAAGATTTTATCTATTTGAAAGCCAGAGTTACACAGAGAGAGGAGAGAGGAAGAGGGAGAGGGAGAGAGGAAGGGAGGGAGAGAGAGAGGTCTTTCATCCACTAGTTCACTCCCCAATTGGCCGCAATAGCTGGAGCTGAGCCTATCTGAAGTCAGAAGCCAGGAGCCTCCTCTGGGTCTCCCACGTGGGTGCAGGGGCCCAAGGACTTGAGCCATCCTCTACTGCTTTCCCAGGCCACAGCAGAGAGCTGGATAGAAAGTGGAACAGCTGGAACTCGAACCGATGCCCATATGGGATGCCGGCACTGCAGGTGGCACCTTTACCCGCTATGCCACAGCACCAGCCCCGACACATCTGCCTTTAAGAGCTAATTGCAGCTGGTGCCACGGCTCACTAGGCTAATCCTCCGCCTTGCGGCGCCGGCACACCGGGTTCTAGTCCCGGTCGGGGCGCCGGGATTTCTGGTCCCGGTTGCCCCCTCCTTTCCAGGCCAGCTCTCTGCTGTGGCCAGAGAGTACAGTGGAGGATGGCCCAAGTCCTTGGGCCCTGTACCCCATGGGAGACCAGGATAAGTACCTGGCTCCTGCCATCGGATCAGCGCGGTGCGCTGGCCGCGGCAGCCATTGGAGGGTGAACCAGTGGCAAAAGGAAGACCTTCCTCTCTGTCTCTCTCTCTCTCACTGTCCACTCTGCCTGTCAAAAAAAAAAAAAAAAAAAAGCTAATTGCGGACTACCTGAGCTATGTTAGTTGGGGCCAGAGTATCCCAGTACTTGATAAAGATCTTGGGTTGTCGAGATGAAAACTAGTTAACTGGATGCAGAGGTTGGTAGAGACTGCCATTAGCTAGCTCTGGGCAGGGAGGCAGGCCCGATGCAGGAAGAGTTCCTGAAAAGCAGAGTGTGCCCTCCAGTCCATCAGGGGGCGATCACGTGCTTGGAGGCTTACCATAGAGCCTGACAAGGGAATGGTGCTGAACCTGCCCTCTGGAAGCTCAGAAATGGGAAAAGGAAATCTGTGTGGGATGTTAGGACAGGCTTCCCGGAGGGAGCAGCGTTCAGTTTCCTATAAAAATCGCAAGTGCTTGTTGTGCATCCGTCATTACATCAGGAGCTGGCATTTTCTCCCATTTCTCCCGTTCTGTACCTCCAGCTTCAGTTTTCCCCATCTTGTGGGTATGCGTGTTTGTGTGTATACGTCTGTTAGTGGGGGAGGAGGGGAGGGTGGTTACTAGAAATAGGTGCCACATGGTAATTCCCCACCCCAAACCCCGCCTCTTGTCTTTTTCCCACCCTTGCCAAAGGTCACCAAAATTTTCCAGAAGAAGAAGATCTTGGTGACGTACAGCTTCCGTCAGTCCTTTCCCCTGGTGGAAATGCACATGCAGCTCTTTCAGAATTCATGTGAGTCCCTTCTTGGATCCCAGCATCCTCGGAGTCAGTACCATGGCCCCCTGTTCATTCTTCATCCGTACCAGCCAGCAGTTTTTGGGCTAAGCACCTACTAGGTCCCGAGATGAAGGGCAGCCTGCGTGGAGCTGGACTCGGGGCTAGCCCCTGAGGTGCTCACAGTCCTGCAGAAAACCTCAGTGTGTGTACATTCTTTGGTGGGGTGAAGAGGTAGCAATCTCTCTGTGCTCCAAGGGGTTGAACCCGGGGCAGGGCGGAGGCGATTGATTGGGGCAGCAGAAGCAATGTGAATACCGGCAGAGGTGTGAAGGAAAGGTTTTCTAGAGGATGGTGCAGTTGTTTGCCTTTGTGTTTCGGAGCACAGAGAGGACCAGGGCCATGGCTGCCAGGAGTTTGGGGGCAGGGAAGGGCTTTGGATGCAGAGGGGAGCCACTGAAGATGCACAGAGGAGAGGCATGCTCAGTGTTGGATGTTAGAAACATTATTTCCCATTGGAGCCACTTTGCTTCCACCCCAACAGAGGTGCCCAACCTGCCCTCCCCTCCGTTTGCCCACAGATTACCAGTTTGGGATCAAGTTGCTGTCTGCAGTGCCAGGTGGTGAGCGCAAAGTCCTCATCATCTTCAATGCCCCCAGCCTCCAGGACCGGCTGCGCTTCACATCGGACCTGCGCGAGTCCATCGCGGAGGTGCAAGAGATGGAGAAATACCGCGTGGAGTGTGAGTAGGCCAGCCACGTCTCCCTCCTCTCCCCTGACACGGTGCCCTGCACAAACCAAAAATCCACGCCTCTGCAAACCTCAGAGTGAGCTGAGGGGCAGTCTGTCCAAGCTTCCCACCTGCAGCCCAGGCACCCCTTGGCCTCTGCTTGTGCACCCGCAGTGACAGGGGGCTCATCCCTCCCAGCCTCAGACTAATGTTCCAAGTCCTAAGACTCAGTGCCATGGCCTCATGCTCCTTACTCAATTATGAGCCAGCACTTCCTTCTGTTGAAAGGCAGCAGGGAGAAGAATCGGGGTCCTAGAGACAGAACTCTTAATTTCAGACCCCAGGTGTGCTACTTAATAGCTGGGTAGACCAGGGGAAGTCGCCCACTCTTCTGAGTCCCAGGTTCTTCCTACACGAAATTGGGATAAGGAAATCTCCTTCATGAAGGTGTGGCGATGAAATGAAACCAGGTAGCCAAAGTGGCCCTAATCCATCCCAGGTGTTCCACAAATATTATTTCCCACCCACTCCCCACCCTTGCCTCGCCCCTCCCTCCATATTGGTTGCTGAGCTGAGTCCCCCCCCCCCCCGACCTACCTCTCAGTCCCCAAGGGTGACACCAAGTCATTTTGACCATGTATGATGGAAAATTGTGATGACATCTCACTAGTCCCTCCAAGTTTTCTCTTTTAGAGAAAACTAGGCTAAGCAGTCGCCATCAAGTAACATGGTGTTAAAGAGAAGGAGGGAGGGAGGGAGGGAGAGAACAGCTCCTTGGTGAGACTTTCAGAGGCCAGGGTCTGCTCTGCTCCTCAGCCCGGCTGGGTTAGAGTTGCAGTTCAGCTGGTCCCTTAAGACCCTGGAGACATGCAGAGTGGGATCCATCCGTATACAAGATGGCAGGGGGCGGGGGGTGGCAGCAGGGAACAGACAAGGGCTTCCTTGGGTTCCATGGCGACGCAGGGATGTAAGGAGTCAGGCACACCTGCTTCCAGAACATCAGCACCACTGGTGCCAGCTGTATGACCCCTCCACCCCCACCCCTACCCTGGGCAAGCTCTATGATGTCACAGATTTTCGCTTTCTTCCTCTGTACACCGTGGCTGCTGATGCTGGCCGCAGAGCTGTTGTGAGCATGGAGAGTGATCAAGTGTGGGTAGCATCCGGCATAGAGGGCTCCACTCCGGCCCTTTCTGGAGGCCCTGTGCTCTGGGGCAAGGTGGCTGGGAACTGAGTAAACGCTGGGAAGACTGCTCGGGGCCGGCCATGGTGGCTCCCAGAGCCTTCCTGTCTTTCACTGTGCACCCTCTGCCCTGAAGCTCCTTTTTGAAGGGCAGGGGTGGTTTGGGGGACCTGACTGCAAGAGACCAAGGGAGGGGGAAAAGTAAGAAGGGAGAAAGGGAGGGGGAAAGGAGCAGGGAGAACAGGCCCTGAGAGAAAGGAGGAGGAGACTGAGCAGGAAGTGGGGCAAGACAGGTGCCAGGCACCTAGGGAGCTTTGTAGATGAAGCTGCGCTTTGGGTTGAGGGGACAAGTGCTGTGCCTCCCCAGGGGGCTACAGAGGAGGCCTGGGGGCCAGAGGGAGGGAGCAAGAAGGAGGAAGGCCCTTGGAGGGCTGGGGTCGGTCATGTGGGCTCTCACCCCTCTTCCTGACCTTTGCTCCTTTTCCCCTCACTGCCCTGCAGCCGAGCTGGAGAAACAGAAAGGTATGATGCGGCCTAACGCCTCACAGCCTGGAGGGGCCAAGGACTCAGTGAATGGGACGCTGGCCCGCAGTAGCCTGGAGGACACTTATGGGGCAGGCGATGGGCTCAAACGGGGCGCACTCAGCAGTTCCCTGCGAGACCTCTCTGATGCAGGTGAGTCTCCTGGGTCCCCCCCGCCCTGGCTGGGGAGACGTGGGACCCGGTGTCCTCTTTGCCTCCTGTCACTGGCCGCCAGCCTTCCCTCCACCTGCCGCGCACGCACGCACGCACGCACGCTCCCTGCCCTCACCCGGAGTCCCGGGCCCTGGCACCCCAAGGGGGCCTGGTAGCCAGGTCAGAACAGGTGGAGCCCAGGGTTTGGGCCAGGCAGCGTGAAGTGGGGCCATGGTCTTTGCCCCTCTCTCTCGCCGCTCCACCTTCTTCCTCCTCTTTACCCTCTTCTGTCGCTCCTGTACCACCTTCTCCTTCTCTATCTTTTCCTCCTCTCTCTCCTCCTTCTCCACCTCTCCTCCTCCCAGCCTCCCCCTCTTCAATGGGGGAAAAGGGATATGGGGTGTCTGTCCCCGGGAGGGGCCCAGGCCTGGCGCCCAGCTCTGGAGCCCAGCAGGGTGGGGAGGGGGGGTTGCTGCTCTGACGCTGGGCTCCTTGCTTGTGGGTGCAGGGAAGCGGGGGCGGCGTAACAGCGTGGGATCGCTGGACAGCACCATCGAAGTAAGTGCCAGCTCCTGCCCCCACTCATCCTCTGCATGAACCCTGCCCCGGCCACGGAGCCCCAGAGGAGGAGGGGACCGGCTGCGTCCCCCTCTTCCCTTCTGGGAACCGTGCGGCTGCCTCTCCCAGCCAACCACTCTGTCCATCTGTCCTCAGCTCTGTCTGTCCTCACTCTGCCTGTCTCTCGGTCTGTCTTCCACTCTCCCATGCCCCCTCTCAACCCCAGGGCCGACTCCAAGTAGGGATGCCCTTGGAGTTGGGCCACAAGAAGCTCTGGCCTCCAAGTCCTGCTCCTTGACCCTGAGCAAGTCCCTCTGCCTTGCCTGGGCCTAACATTTTCCTGGCCTGCAAAACCCCGGGCACGAGGAGGAGGTACTGCCAAGTCCTCTTCTGGCCACGGAGGCTCAGCTTGAGGTAGTGGATGTCACAGCGGAGCTTTGCAAGTGGGGGGAGCTCCGTCTACCAGTCCAGGACTGTGCTTTTCGGGGTGTTTTTTTGTTGTTGTTGTTCTTGTTCCAACCTGGGGCTCCCTGTCTCCCCAGCTTCAGCCCTCAGGGACAGGGGTGGAGTTTAGGGTTGGGGGTTTAGGGCGGCTAGACTGGCCTGACTCCGCCCCCCTTCCCCCTTCCAGGGGTCTGTTATTAGCAGTCCACGCCCTCACCAGAGGATGCCACCTCCGCCCCCACCCCCGCCGCCAGAGGAGTACAAGAGCCAGAGGCCCGTCTCCAACTCCTCATCCTTCCTGGGCTCCCTATTTGGAAGCAAGCGGGGCAAGGGGCCTTTCCAGATGCCACCACCACCGCCAACAGGCCAGGCCTCTGCCTCCTCTTCATCTGCTTCTTCCACTCACCACCACCACCACCATCACCACCATGGTCACAGCCACGGTGGCCTGGGGGGGCTGCCTGACGGGCAGTCCAAGCTCCAGGCCCTGCATGCCCAGTATTGCCAAGGACCAGGCCCTGCCCCACCGCCCTACCTCCCACCGCAGCAACCCCCTCTACCCCCACCTCCTCAGCAGCCCCCACCCCTGCCCCAGCTGAGTTCCATTCCGCCACCTCCCGCCTCAGCCCCACCCGTGGGGCCGCATCGCCACTTCCATGCCCACGGCCCAGTCCCAGGGCCTCAGCACTATACCTTGGGCCGGCCAGGCAGGGCTCCCAGACGGGGGGCTGGAGGACACCCTCAGTTTGCTCCACATGGCCGCCACCCCCTGCACCAGCCCACGTCCCCTCTGCCCTTGTACAGTCCTGCCCCCCAGCACCCTCCTGCCCACAAACAGGGCCCCAAGCACTTCATCTTCAGTCACCACCCACAGATGATGCCAGCAGCAGGAGCAGCTGGGGGCCCTGGATCCCGGCCGCCAGGGGGCTCCTACTCACACCCCCACCACCCCCAGTCGCCTTTGTCACCGCACTCAC